TATATATATATATATATACATACACATATATATAAGGCACTATATATATATCTAATACATATAAACTATATATATATATATACATATACATATATACATACATATATATAAGGCAATATATAATTATATATACACATAATACACCCTTATATATACATACTATACATACTATATATATTTATATAGCTATATATAAGCAATTTATACTAGTATATACATATATAGTTTACAAGAAAGTACCTTAGATAAAAGAAATTAAAAAAAATAGCCTGAAACGGAAAAAGCTCTTTAGGCCCGTGGGCCCGGCCCATTTAGCCCGGGACCATATGGGCTTAAGACCGCCGTGGGCCGGTTCCACACATTGGGACCGTTTGGCCGGGGACCGCCTCAGCCCGGCCCGCCTCAAGCCCAGGCTCGTTTGGCCTGGGCCCGGACCACAATACAACATTACTTGAATGTGGCTATTATTGGATATCGATCTACCAAGATGAAAACCAAATGGTCAAGGCATGTGATCAATGTCAAAGATAAGGGTCAACTTCTAGAAGACATGAGATGCCTATGAACTTTGTGATGGAGGTAAGGGTGTCTAACGGGTGGCCCGGGCCGGGCTGGGTAGGTAAAATTTGGAACCGTACGGGTTGGGTTCCAGGCTGGTTACGGGTTGGGGCTTATTGGGTTTAACGAGTCGGGTTCATCCGAGTAAAAAATGAACCGTAAGGGTTACGGGTACAAGGGACCGGACTGGATTAGCGTAATTTTTAATTTTTTTTTGTATTTTGTTTTTGTAAAACTATTGTAAGTTATATTAATATAAAGTAAAAATATAAAGAATACAATGAAAATGAGGAAAAAATTGCATTTAAATTGCAAGTGCTACATTAATTTCAAAATTCAAACTTACAAATTGAAAGTTTTACATTTAACAACAAGTAAATTAACAAAAAAAGAGTAAATTCAAAGGCCCCATTATTAAAAAAAAATAAAATAAAAAAATAAAAAAATTAAGTAGTCGTTATACCGGTCTGGGCCGGGCCGGTTAACCGGTTGTACAGTATAAATCGTTGATCGGGTTTGATCGGTCCAGTTAACCGATAGCCCCAATGTGAAAGGACCAAACCTCCTACCCTTTTAACCCAGCCCTACCCGACCCCCTTCTACCGGTTCAGGCCGGTTCTGGTTTTAACCGGTTTGGACTGGTCTGGAAACGGGCTCACTAGCCCCGTTAGACACCCATAGATGGAGGTCAAGATCTTTGATGTGTGGGGAATATATTTTATAGGTCCTTTCGTAAGCTCTTACGGCATGACATATATCTTGGTGGCAGTAGATTATGTCTCCAAATGGGTCGAGGCAATTGCTTTGCCGAACAATGAAGCAATGAGTGTAACCGCTTTCTTGAAGAAGAACATATTTACGCGGTTTATAACCCCAAGGGACATCCATAGTGATGGTGGTTCTCACTTTTGCAACAAAGCTTTTGCCGGACTACTCGAAAAATATGCAATTAAGCACAAGGTGGCCACCCCTTATAATCCTCAGTCGAGCGGTCAAGTTGAAGTTTCCAACCGGGAGATCAAAAACATCCTAGCAAAAATTGTTAATGCAAATAGAACCGTCTGGTCAAAGAAGCTAGATGATGCATTATGGGCATATCGGACAACATTTAAGACTCTCATTGGCACCTCACCATACTGGTTGGTTTTTAGTAAGGCGTGTCACCTGCTAGTGGAGCTTGAACACAAAGCTATGTGGGCATTGAAAATGTTAAATCTTGACTGGACCGAAGCTGTTAATCTAAGGATGACACAACTCAATGAGATGGAAGAATTCCGTTTTCATGCCTATGAGAATGCATCCATGTATAAGGAAAGAATGAAGTTTGTTCATGACAAGAAGATTTTGAAGCGAGAATTCAAATCCGGTGACTTGGTCTTACTCTTCAACTCAAGACTGAAGTTCTTTCAGGGAAAACTCAAATCCAAATGATCTGGCCCATTCAAAGTTGTGAATGTGTCTTCCTATGGCGCCATTGAATAGGAATCCGAGGACGAGACTCGAACCTTCAAAGTAAATGGCCAAAGGGTAAAGCATTACCTCGAAATCATTGGAGAAAGGCACTTGGTAGAACATTTTGCACTCAAAGATGGTCCTACACCAACCCCCACCAATGATTAGCCAAAATGGGGGCAATATCGTCGTGCCGCGACTTTAAATCAAGCTTCTTGGGAGGCAACCCATGTGTGGTAACACTTTTTTGGTTAGATTTTAATTTCGATAAGTTTATTTGTAAGTGTTGAGCAGTTTGACGTGTGTGTTAGAACGTAGGTGACCCAAAAAACATAATGAAATAGGATGCAAGGGCAGAGACAAATGAAGGAAAGCAAGCCAAGCTTCAGCTGTGTCCTGCGGCAACATATGCGGCCGCATAATGGATTTGCGGATCGCATAATGGTCACAGATACAAGCAAAAAATGCAATCTAGGCCTTCATAAATGCTGTCACGACCCAAATCGATGGTCCGCAACGGGCACCCGGTGCCCTTACTCAACTGAGTACTAACGTAACGTATCTTTCTCATTACATCAATATTGATAAATGGGCCAGAAGGGTTGTATGAGGTAACAAGAATAAAACATGAGAGAAAACTCCACATAAAATGACCCAACCTGATATGCTGACTTATACATATGACGTACAGGCCTATAAGGCCAAAATAATCACTCTTACACTGAACATAAGCCGACAAGGCCATACAATCTTTCATATACATGACATATGTCTACAAGCCTCTAAGAGTACATAAATGTCATAAGGCCGGGACAGGTCCCCGACATACCAATCAATACATGTCTAAATCATACAAACCAAATAAGCAACTCCGGAGCAAATGAAGCGCACAAACATCTTTCGCTAAGTTGATAGCCTACTTGGAGGACTCTCAACTTGTCTATCGAGACCTACGGGCATGAAATGCAACGTCCCCGGGAAAAAGCCTCTGAGACCCATGAACATATGATAGAATAATATGACACATGGGGAATCAAGAAACATAAGCATCTATAGTATTTCTATGAATAGAGTCATTTATGGAAATTGTGAATTTGCTCGTTTCGTTTGTGTCGTATAGATCATGCCAAAGGAAAGAAGGGATAGCCTTAACATACCTGAGCTGATTCTCTTGACAATCCCTTTAACACACGTCAATTGCGACAAACCACATAACAGTGGAACGAAGTAGGGGAAAATCCATATGATATTCTTGAGAAAGATTGCATCGTACTCCCTTTGAATTGCAAAATCCCGTTGTCGTAGCGTTATAAGGTATCATATGAGATTCTTTTTGGAGAATTCCATCCGTAATCTCTAGCAAGCAATCTATTCTTTTTAATTATGTATAGGGAGGTGAATTAGAAAAGTCTTATACCTTAGTGGGTGTGGGGCCCACTAAGGTGATGACTTAGCCTCCAAATAAGACACCTTAACAGAATGAATTAAGAGTCATCAATTGGCAAGGTTGGCTCCCACATTTGAGGGGGGGGGGGGTCAATTCTTATCTAATAATATCTTAATTAATTACCAATTTTCTTAATTAACTTGGTAATTCCCAACTAATCCAACAATTAATTAATTACTCACATAATTAAGAATTATCTCAAATTACTTAAAATACTACTCACTATTAACACACCTTATATACCTTACTATCATGATCATGTGGTACCTTGTATGGCAATAGTCCATGAATACAGGGTATTATAGCTTGGACCGTATTTTATCCCCAAATTGCCAAACTTCGACATAACCCATTTTCTTTGATTCGCTTACCCTCTTATATTCAAGAATTAATTTGTCACTTGTTTGAAATAACATAATACTATTAATTCCAAAATAAATCTCATTCCCGAACTTACGTCGATTAACTTACGATGAAGCTTTAACGTACAAAAATGCAGAATGTAACATCTCATTTCCGAGCTTACATCAATTTACTTATAGCATACTTCTACATACAAATGTATGGGGTGTAACGTCATTCCCCCCTTTGGAACATTCATCCTCGAATGTTGACAGATGTACTTATCATTTTCATAACCTATGTCTTCCGAATACTTTAGTACTCCTCTTTCCATCTAGGCAACTATTCTGTGAATGAATCCCAAAGGCCAGGGCATTCCCCCCTTAGGCATCTTTCTCACACCACGACTCATGTTCGGAATCCATCCAATCTTGTAACTGTTTCTAGTTTCTATCATGCAGCTTGTACGACTTTGACATTGTAAGTGCGCCTATGCGACTCTTCTCTCCTTTTTCCTCCAGCTTTTAGCCTATCTCTAGGCCTCACTTTGTTAACATATACAGAGCTTGACAAGATGTTCCTCTGGGCATCTATTGGTATACTAAAGTTCTTCGCTCGGTACTTTGTCGAACCTATGAATATTGCTATATCTTATTTCATAGGCCCGGTTATCTATCCGCATGACTTTACTGCATCTAAGTAGGTCATAATATATGTTCGTTGCTTATCCCATATGTATAAATCTATATCCTTTAATGCTTTCTCATTACTGTTCATCTTAAGAATGACGGCCTAATCTCACCTCATATTTTGTGACTTTTGTCCATCCATTGTTGATTCACCTTAATGGTGATCTATCATCTACCACTGATAACTTGATCTCTTATGTAACATTGCAGTTAGGGCTCACGTCTCATCGGAGATATCTAGAGTGATTAGATTGATCCACCTAGAGGTGATACCATACTTCCATAATCATATTTTATAGCATCACAATATGACTCACCTTACATAGGTATTTTAATCCCGTACAATTCATGAAATCCTCTTCAAGTCATTACTCAATCGAAGGCCCAAATGTCATCCTTTATCTATCACAATCACACCCTCATTCCACTCTTGACGATATTAGTCTTAGATTCCTTTGAGTTCATTCAGGCTATATTGAACTTTCTATAATTTAGAGAAACCATTAGCTCACTTGTTTTCATGGTCTTAATCTTGAGGACTTATCCATTCTCGTCACCTTCTCACTTGCCCTTTCTCATCCTTACTACTGTCATAAAACCTCGTCGCTTTACTATACTTTAGCTTGAGACCTATACATATCTATTTATACTATTCAAAACCTTCCTTCAACTTGCTTGTATAATAGATTCCCTTATGTTATTCTGGAACATCAAGCGAGACATCACATCGTCTCTAACTCTTCTTTACTCTCTTGGCTAAATCTCTCGGTACCTAGAAACCATAGGCTGGAAGATATTCCACTAATGACACCACTATCCTCCCTGGATACTGAATCCCAATGCTTCTAGCCCTCTATCTAAAGTATGGATTATTCACAATTTTCTGCACCTGGGTATCTCATATGTTGTTCACATTTACCTTACTTGCCTTAAAATCTTGCATCGTATATTCTATCTCTTTCATGACCTCCCTTCCACATAGGTATAATTCACGTCCATAACTTGAAGCTCTATTATAATACTTGCACCTCTGGTGCATACACAATTCGGTGGGAGCTTCAAACTAACTTCTTATGAGGCCGATACTCTTCTAACTGGCTTTATCGTATAGCCATTATAGAATATGGCTATTGTCTCTCTTGTACCTCTGATATTTTCTAGGTCCAATAATTAGACTCCCGATTTACTTGGTTGATGTAACTCTTTAGTTTCCTCTTCCTTCCGATTAGCTTTTATGTTGTCTTAAGCTATCTTCCGATCTTCGGCTCCTGGTATTAGTTATTACTTTAGCCTTTCATGGGCATTATGGAATATCAATGATACAATCTTCTAACAACTCAATCATTTGTCTATTCCCTAGGCTCAATTCTTTCTTTTAACTTATACCAGAGTCTTCTATGTCTATATGATTGTCAACATATATGCTGCATGTATAAAATTCTGAACTCTTAAGTGCGTTCATAATGTACTCTGGGTCATTAATCAAATATTTCTTTTCGTTCCTTCTCAGCTTTTTTTAAATGTAAGCAATTACTTTTCTTGGTCTTTCTGTCCCCTTGTTGCATGCATACTTAGCTTACCTTAGTGCTCACACTCATTGGAATTCCATACAAGTCATATGATCTTGAATATCACTTCTGATTTTACTTCCGGTTTATTAGCCACGATAGGTGCCATTTTTTTATAGAGTGCATACAATGTTATTGTGAGACTGTTGTTATAAGACCATTTCCTCCTTAGGTTACTGAGCTTAGGTTGAAGCTTTCTTCCTTACTTCCTCAGCTAGTCTTTCATTATAGTATTTAGGTAGGATCCTCTGACTCTTGTAAAGCTGTGAGCTTATTACATTGTATATTCGACGGACCTTTTGATGTCCTTCCTTGCCTATAATTATCCGTAGTTACTTACTTCCATGCCCTTGTGCTTGTAGGGTTGCTTCTAAACTGATATTTTGACTATATCCAGTGGCACCCTCTTTTATTCCCGTAATACTCATATGATACCTTTAACTACTCCAACTCCTATCTGAATATTTCTCAAGTATTACAATGACATTACCGCGAGGCTGAATTCACTATATTGGGTTTTACTATGTTTATCTTGCATGATCTAGTGACTCATCTGTAACCTCTAGTTTATCCATAACTAGGCTCTTCCTGAATCAATTACTAACTACTCGTTGGCCCATTCTCATATCAATATTTCATGTAAATGTTCTTGGGTTATTTTCTTTGTCTTAACTTACGCCTCGTACTGGCTCCTTATCTATCAATAACATCTCAGGCAAGGACCCTTACTTCCTTTCCTTGACGTCGTGTTTGCATAATGTTCTAGAATCATAGCATATATGTAGGCTTTGAATAAGTGCAATCTCATCCCTTTTTCATTTTTATCGCATTCTTCCCTTACCATTCCATAATTACTAGAACCACATAATTATGACTTAATGTCACATCACTCCATATTCCCCCTATAGAGGAGTACTAAGATTTAGAGCTACG